ATTGCGCAAGTTGAAAAGCTCCTCTCGGGCTGAGTCATTGAGCAGCCTGCCAAGAGAAGTGACCCATGCTTGAGCATTCTCCTGGACGGCACGGGCCAGTGGCTCCAGGTTCAGTCTGATTATGTGTTCATGCTTCACCAAGGGCTGCTTTGCCACCTCATTGCTGACCCTGACATAAAACTGAAACTTCTCATCATACATCACACATGAGGGCTTCTTGGCTGCAAACTTCTCCATAACAATAGCCTTGTCGAGTTTCCAGAGAGAGCGATAGCTCATCCAGGTTTTGAGGTAGGCACTGATTCCATTAAGGAGACGCTGCATTGTCTGGGAGATGGCTGTGGCTTGCTCATTTATCTGTGGAAGCTGGCATACTTCACTGTAAAAAGTGAAGACGAATGGTTTGTCTTCACCATCCACATGCTGTGGAGGGCATTGGATACAACTGCCATGCATCCAGCGAAAAAACAGCTAAAGAAAAAAAGTGACCTGAGTGACCAATTATCTACATTGCACTAAATCTGTACTACATATGTGAAAATATTTGCTTTCTAATTGCACAACAGAGTATGGAGTGCTGCAGGGATGATGCATTTCTATAGGCCCAAAAACAGAAATTAGTTATTATTTAAGCACTTTCAGTTCCATCATCCCAAAGTCACTGGGGTTTTTAATGGGTTTAATGCCTGAAAAAGGATAACACAAGCTCAATGTATTTCCCCCCATTTATTCCATATACAGCAGTAATACACCCTCATGATTTTTTAAAGCCTTTACTTGTCTTGAAAAAGATTGCTAACAAGTTGCTAAATTGGACTACTAGGTTTTCAGGGACATTAAACTTCATCGCACTGAATAAGAAAACTCATCTAACTAGTCTGCTTTCACAGCCTTGCTGTGTTTATAATCACGCTTTAGAAACTATTCTAATTTAAGTTTGTTAAGAGAAAATGTTTTTATTTATTTTTTATTTTATAAAGGCCGAAAGAGTTATTGGAAGCTTTGTGGTGGTGATGTTGCAATCACAGTGTAGTTCATATATAGTTTAGCTGTTTACTTCTGTTGTAATTTAGGCTTCAAAAATTCTAAAAATGTTCATTTGTGAAGATTATCATGATGAACAAAACATGTAAGAATCTTAATCTTTTGTTGAACATAGAGCTTATTTTCTTCGAAGTATCCAAAAGCCAACGGAAAAATCCTGTTGGGTTTTTGTTGAGGGAACCAGGGTGTTGATAACTTCTGGGAGGGCCTGTAAAAATACATCATCCCCTCAGAGCTGCATTTTCTCTCTAAATGTAGTTCATTGTCAACATACCCTGGTGCTCTCCACACAGTCACCGACACACTGTCTAATGAGCTTGTACACCTCACTGCTCTTGGGAAGCAAAGCAATCTCAGGTGCAGCTAGGATGGTGTCGATTTGGAAGAGTGGAGTAGTGCCCATCAGTGCAGTGTTAAAAGCTTGAATATTGCTGAAAGACAATGGTAATGGTAAGCATAAAAGAGCATGAGACCATCTATGTAAATGCATCTGAGAAACAGTCAAGTAAACCTACTGAAGCACCATCTTGCGAAGTGAATCAAAGATCTTGCGCTCCCAATAAGCGTAGAATTGAGCCATGCGTTTGGATTTGCCAGTGCTGGTTCCCATAATCAGACTCTCTATCTTGGTGAGGAGTGGACTGATAGCTGCATACTTATTTACAAGAAGGTTCATTGCCTTTGCCCTCTCACACTCAATGAAGTCACAGAACTCCTTAATTCCTGGAACAACAGATAGATAACACATTGCCACTTTGTACCTGATATGTCTGTTTATGGGCTGTATTTCGAATGTCTATATAATACTCTTAACCTGGTAGGTATCCATTTTTATCTGCCATTGGAAATTTGAAAAGGTTTGCCGATTCAATGGATTTAAGTTTATCGTCAATGTCTCGTTCATTCTTCT